TTTGGACTTCAATCAATAGTTTTTGTATCTAAAACTGCATTTCTCATCTGGTCTCCCAGTCACTGACGAAAGCTAGTCGATACTTGGACGTTAGTGATTATCTTTTTTACTGGCCGGGAAGCTTTCCTTGCCCCCAGCCTTCCTTAATCCTACCTACCGTCCCCGGGAATGGCCTTCCGCTGTGGTGACGTTCAGATGACCCTAGTGACTGATCAACCCTTCTCCGTGGATGTGTCCTCTCCATTCCGCTATCGCGTAGCTTCAGGCGTAGTTCGTGTTGGTAAGATTAGAGTTTCCCCATCCCAGAGGAAATGTTCTCTCTGATGGATGGTATCTGCTGCTGGGTTGAATGACCCGCCGGCCAGATTTAGGGAAACATCTGACTGGTATTTGATGCTGTTCGAGTTGATACCAGAAGTAAATAGCTTGTCTTAATTAGAGTGATTTACACATGAGGTAGATCTTATTTGGTTCAAGATTATCTCGACAGAAAGATTCGCATAGACTCAAGGGGTCTCAGAAAATTGGTCATCAGAAGGAAGGACATTTTACCTAGAATGTGTCTTATTTTCCTCGTGATATGCAAACCCCATCCCAGTTATATCAAAGAATCTTAACATGCTTTCTCCTCTTAGCACTCAGGACTTGGCTATAATAGTTTGACACATGTCACTGGATTATTCCCTTGTTGTAATGCTTACACAACTGTGTGGATTAATGAGAATGTTTGGCAACTTGTCACTTCACGTGCTTTCCTCCTTGGTATGTGGTCTCTTTCTTTATCAGCTTTTGTCACCTTCTTAAAACTTCATTTTGAAGGATTGCTAACACGATTTAATGGCTAACATATTTTAGAAATGCAGATATCCATATCCCATTAGGCTATGACAAACTGTGTCGTAAAGTAATGTGGCTTGTAGAAAAGATATCTATTCATACAGAAGTTAAATGCGCACTTGTAGAATACCCCATAGCTAAGATTATATAAGATTGCAGCGACTCATATGATGCACTTCCTTCTTCCGCTAAGTCTTATGGTTTTTAATAGAACATCTGGATACCACAAGATAAGACATGTCTAAGAACCATGGATGTAATAAGATTGCACGAAGCCGTCTTGAGAACGACATCTGTGATTGTCTCCTTTCTTGCCCGGAGACGCAATAAGAACTGCGAAAGATGAAAGGCTTGCAGACTAACTCTTCTTAAGCCTTTAAGTAGTCTCCAATAAGGTGTTGACATCGCTGAAGGAGGCAGATTAGTGAGAAGCCTGTCTTACAGACAATAATGGGGAGGATGAGGAGTAGGTAGCAGTGTTAGGAATGAACAGGGGGCTTAACATGATGAAAGTACCGTATAGCGGCTACGTTTTCTTAAAAAAAAGTCAACACCTGCAGTAACTGGCCAGGCGTTAGTTAATAATTGAGATAGATACTAACTATATTACTATAGGGAGGTAGATATGCTGTATGATGAGTTTGGGACCGTATGACCGATGGGTTGTTACTCAACTGTATCTCGTGAGGAGCGGTATAGGAGGAAGGGGACCGTAAACTTGACTAGGCATTTTGTTGTCGTTGTGATTTCATGTTTAATTTTCGTGACCAGTGGGCAAACATACATACCCTACAAATGTGTACTTTCTTTTGGTAACGTGACAGATATTGCGCATATCCAACTTAAGGCCAGAGTTCTGTAACTTCTAATAAATTTGCCTAAAACTTTAGTTGAGGGAAACAAGATCTAGTTGTACACGTGCACCCTGTCGTATTCAGTCCACATTTGTGACCACCCTAAGGGAATTCGCCATTGATTATGTTTGAAGAGGTAATATGATGACATTGATTATTATGACTTTAATATTGTTGTATCAATAATTTTCATTTGTATAACGTGTAAAGGCGTTAGTACGTTAATAAAATTGACAATATGAAGCATCCTCTGGTGGATTCCACGCCGATGACCTGTTCATCTACATTAGATACCAGGTGATGCATTAAGTAAGGGCTATAGATCTGTACTAGACCGTAACAGTACCCGTGAGAGAATGAAAGTTAAAAGTCAACAACTGTAGTAAATGGCCAGGCTTTAGTTAATAATTTAGATAGATATTAACTATAATACTATCTATATAGACAAGTACAGCATTTAGCTTGAAATCTAACTTTTTTGCTTGTATTTCGTTATCAACTAAAATTCTGTCCTCATAGAATTGGAGTTACCCAAAATTGAGGAGGAAATCCATAGGACAAAGTTGCAATTGAATAGAGACGGGAGACGCCATAAACTATCCGCTACGTTTGATCCACTGCTTACTTAGCCACTTCGTTGTAATCTGCATGAAGTCACGGAAAGTGCAGTTCAAAGATCCCTCTTCACAAATAACACGCTGGAACTACCTTGAACTTTTGCCCGCGAGTTCACTTTACGGCGTAAAATGATAAAACTGCGGCTAGTTTAAAGGTCGCACATGACTCAGCCATGTGATACATGTATATTTATACTTTTCAACCGGACGACTGATTTTATAACGTCTACACACTGACACATTCAAAGGTCGACATTTAATCAGTTGGACCATAAACTGACCACAGGCGGCAAGGTCGTATTTTTTCAAGTTATGGGTTTTTCCAAAGTCACCCTGATGCAACGTGCCCATTTCTACATGGGTGGCCTCAATCTTTGAAGTCTTGCAGCTAATTTCAACATGCCTCTTTTCGTAGATTCGATAACGTTGACTTTACTCCTTTGGTAATACAGCAAATAGTTCTATATGGGTTTTTCCAAAGCCACCATGATAAAACATGCCCATTTCTAAAAGAGTGGCCTCAATCCCTGAAGTCTATATGGATTTTCAGCTAATTTCAACATGTCTCTCCTGTTAGACTTGATAACATTGACTTTGATCCTTTGGTAATACAGCAAATAGTTCTATATGGGTTTTTCCAAAGTTAACCTGATACATGTCCATTTCTAAACGAGTGGCCTCAATCCTTGAAGTCTGTATGGATTTTCAACTAATTTCAACATGTCTCTTTTCGTAGATTCGATAACGTTGACTTGACTCTTTTGGTAATACAGCAAATAGTTCATCTATACACGTTTCAGGAAGTAACTCTGAAGATAAATCCTTTGCTAAGGGCCCTTTGAAAATCCCTTAAACGCACAGGTAGTAATGGACCATGCTCAAGAATGGAGCCAGACAAACGTCAAAGCCGAAAACATGATACCATGGTAAATCACGTCTCTTTGAAGTAAACCTTCTGACAGATGTCGTCTTCCTTTTAAGATATCTTTAGCTCACTTTTAAGGAGTAAAGAGACTGTATTATGACAGAAGGGGTTCCGGGGAGAAATGAATGGATCCCTCCGCCAAAGGAGGGATCAAAGGTCCCATTGACAGAGACATATGTCCAGCAGCGAGGAACAAGTACAAAAACACCGCTTAGAAACCTTGTATCAAAACCCATCAAAGACTCAGTCAGCGAAGACGTGTTTTATTTTCCAACAGCAGCGTTTTGACGTTCTAAAGCCTAGGTACACAGAAAGTCATGAATTGCATCTTTATTGCTCTAAGCAACAAAATATCTGGCTGCATAGGTGCAGTATTTTGTACGCACGTTGTAAATAGGTGCTGTAAGTTTTAAACAGTGGCCATTACATGATCCGACCACTCATGGGGCAGTCCAAGTTGACTTAACAGGCGATCTCGGTGTGAACGGTTCTCTGAACGTCAACAAAGAATGTACAGAAACATAGCGATATCCCCTATTTCATCCCCCGCTTTCCATTCTTAAGATTACAGTTGACTTACGAGAGGATCATCCCAACATTCAACCTGGTTTTGAAAGGACAGGAATTATGCTATCAGTCACTTGGATACATCAATAGGAAATGTATCAGTCCCGACGTGCTTGGCTGCTGGATGGAACAGATAGTTGTAGTTTGTACACTTGGTATTCAATCTAAAATAGTTGTTTGTACAGCTTGGCTTGAAGCGAAACGAAGGCAATCTGTAGCTATTTACAAATAATCTTTGAGCTCGTACGTTCACATTCATGACTTGATATTTGTTCCCTCCAATACAAAGGGCGGAATTACAGCGATAAAACTACCAGATCCTGACAAACGGAGCCCCTGGATGGGCGGCAACGTCAGGACTGCACTAAGGCAAAAGCAAGTAAATTTTATGGATGACAGCGCACGCATTAATTTTCCCCTGATTTTGGAAAAAAAATGTTTGCCTTCTGACAGTGGTCAACATGCCGAAAATGGGCAAAGATTTTTTTGCTATGCCGGAAGGTGGATGGCAGATAACTATGGAGAGAGGAGACAAGAAAAGGCTCTGATTTAATGTTTTGTTTCTTACTTTGATACAGTGACATGTGATGCTGGCTATGTATATGTGATGTTCCCAATAAATCAAAACCATTTGTACAATGGTTGAGTCAAAATTTAAGATATAGGAACCTTGGCCCGCCTTGTTTTTTTTTCGCCCAGTTGCATTAGATTTGGAGTCTGCGAAAGGATGTCATCCATAAAATTTACTTGCTGTGGCCTAATCAGAAGCGCTGATTACAATTCCCGGTACGTCTATGTCCTAGCCTGAAGACCTGGAACCTCTTCATCATGATTCCGGCCTGGCGCCAGTTTCTAGACGCACGAACGGCAAACGGGAAGTGCCGAAGGAACGGCCTATTACAAAGGCATTGCCTGGCTTTTATCAGCTCAAAGGAGATCACCCGCAGCGTCCTCAGTTGTACAGTTGTGACGTTCACAATCACGAGACTGCCAGCATCCTCCTTCAGCAGACGTAAGTCTGTCTAGTCGCTAGACACTTGTTGATAAAAATAAACACGCCACTTTCAGGAACGGTCCATTGAAGCTGACACTTCTGAAGGAGGAATCAACTTCTGACGACAGGGAGTAAATTCTACTCCCTCCGGGTCCATCTTTCGTACGAACCGAACTTGTCCAACAGCTGGCTGCTGTGTCCAATCCTCCGGAAGCAAGCGAACAATTTCCTCGCCATAGATTTCCGCTTGTATTGTCTAGATCTCTATGCACTCGATCTCCCTTAACTGTGCCTTGTCCCCGCCCGTCTTCCTGGGTGTGGCCGGCTACAGAACAAAGATTGGGAGGGGCAGAATTAGAAATGCATCTGTGAAAAATAGACAAAAATGGACAGCGATGATGTTGGCATTAGCAATGAAATAGCACACAGATAAATGTATGAAACAGACATGAAACAAACGGAATGCATTAGCTAAGAAAGGAGGGAAGCCAACTTAGGAATCTAGACTTCGAATCTCCAGTTATCATTTAGAATTCACGGATACAAATGGTCTGGTTCATTGTTGCTAAGCGTTGATGTGTAGATGGTGTGCCGTTGTTGTATCAGTCATGAAACAGACGGAACGCATAAGTTAAGAAAGGAGGGAAGCCAACTTAGGAATCTGCAGTTATCACGAATACGAATGGCCTGATTCGTTGTTGCAGCGTTGATATGTAGGTGTGGCACTGTTACATCAGTCATTATATCAGGTGTGGCACTGTTATATCAGTCATTCCACGCGTTAAACCTTCAGTACCGAATACGCTATTCTCAGGCGGAAGTGACATTCTGCCGAGGCGTCTTACAAAGTTTTGCAAACTGTCAGGTTATATGTAGGTGTGGCACTGTTATATCCGTCATTATAGCAGGTGTGGCGTTGCTATATCAGTCATTCCACGCGTTAAAGCTTTAGTACCGGATGCGCTATTCTCAGACGGCAGTGACATCCTGCCAAGGCGACTTACAAAGTTTCGCTAACTGTCAGGTTCTCAGCAGCCGAAACTTCTGACAAATCTCTCGGGCGATTCATGATTAGTAGGGCTCGTGCTAACGTTTTGTCGTTCGGTTTCAGTCCGTCAGCTTGACGAATCACTGCGGTGCAGCCTCCTGTTGGAACCAGCCTCCCATCATTGTCGAGTCGCGGGGCCCAAAATGAAGCGGAAAATACCT